CAAAACTTGAATAATCACCTAAACCAAACCAAATTATTCTTATGATGCTATATTAATCCATTACAACATGCAAAACCTCATATAAAATATATAGCTTAAAAATTATATAATAAAGCTACTTTAATTAGCAATGATAATTAAAGTATAAAATTTAGAGGTAGAGAAAGAAGAGTAATTTAAAATAAATATAAAATAAAATTTTTCTTAAATATCAAAGACTTTGATTAAAATTTAAAATTATAATTTATAATTAATTATATTAAAAAAGTTAGCTCTTTATATAATTAAAAATCAAAGAGCACTGCATGAAAGCATCAGAAGCCATCGCTTGATAAAATTGAAGGAAAGAAAAGATGAACAGCTATCGCCTACGTCGCCTCTGCTCCTCCAAAATATTTCACCGCGTCTCCCATTCCTTTTATAGTAAAAGCCATGGGTCGCTTTTTTATTCATTTTGAGTGTTTTTTTTTTTTTGGGGCTAATCATATGCGTCCAGACAACCCTAATAATTCATTCAAAAGTCAAAACTACCCTCAATAATTCTAATTAAAATTACATTAAAGAATCCAAAATTAATATAACTAAAATCTATAAGATTAAATTTTTGACTTGATATTCAAACTTGCCCATATCCTTTCATCAAAAATAATTTCGTCAACATCTTTAAAAAAAATTTAAAAAATCTGTACAAATAAAATAAAATTAAATAATAACTGTGTAAAAATATTAAATATTCATTTATATTTTAAAATTAAAGATTTAGATAGTTAAAGTTAAAAGCTAAAGATTGGCTAATAAAATTAAATAAGATCCAATTAAACTCAATTACCTCAAATAAATATTTTAAAATTTAAATTAAAAAAATAAAAATATATAAAATTATCATTTATCAGGCACGTAGGAGGGAGAACGATAAACTGATAGGGTTGTTGTAGGCGTTGCATATTTAAGTTCAAAATTAGATTTAAAAAAAAAGTAGTCAAAAAATTATATTTAAAAAAATTATGAGGTGCAAACTGTTTTGAAGAATGCGATTGTGGTATTTGAGAAAATTTTTATAAAGTATTGTATCTAGGAAATTATTATTTTATTTTAACATATGGGCTTTTTTTATTCCATCAGGAGGTATAATATTATTACCACCCTTCCAACCAAATCCAAACTCGTGATATGTGAGACCCTTATTACTTCTATTTTTGAAAGAATAAAGAAGGTGAGATATTTAGCATATAAGGAAATATTTAGTATCAATATATCTCAAAAAACTATTCCCATTAGGTATAGTAATTATTTTGTCTTTTTCCTAAATAATTTGCCAAAATCCATTGTTATTCTACCAATTGTAAAATAAAAAATATAATTTTGAATGACATTAATGTTGAAATATCAATTAAGCTTCGGGGCATTGTAATGAAATTCAATTCCACATCACTCACTTAGAAATGGACATTTAGGACTGCTAGAAGTTTGGCCCTAAATTTGTCATTTGACATCATGTTATTGTCATGTTCTATATAAATACATCTTAGCATAGGGCACAAAAAGCATTTAGCCATGATGCATTGTCCCTTGACTGTGGCAGATGGCTTGTTTTGCTAGAAAATGACATGTTTGATCCTATTTGCAAATGCATGTTTCAAGTTAAATTAGTATCTCATACTTTTGGATGTTTTATATATATAATTTTAACTTGTTTGATATAAATCTTTTATGTTTACAAGGTAAAAGCTTGGGATCTCATTTGAAATAAATGAATTCTATTTACTATGGTAAAGGCTTATATGGTTTGTTCTTAATTATCATGATAATTTATGATTAATATGTTAAGTTAGTGGAGATATTTGGCGATATTATATCATGTCGCTTTGTACTCATTAGCAATGGATAAATTGACATATTTGTTGTGCAACACGTACATTGCTAACCACTTGAACCCCATTCGCAACACTGTTGAGGGTCCCAGTGCATGAACAAATTGGAATAGGAGTACACGAGATATCCATGTCAATCTCATTTATTACAGTTTCAGTAGTTTTCTTTCCAGACCTTGCCCATCAGCTAAAAGAGTATTCTCATCATTTGACGTACGAGGTCGTCTTTTGGACTTCTTTACCTTAGGAGACTTAGGTACCGTGGAACTCTCTTTTCTTACTAGTGCCATTGATCTTCTCAACAGGTGCCTCTTCCACCGACCTTTCTTCCTTCGCCAAGTTAGGCGATTGAACACACTGCATGTGATGGGCTGAAGATGTCTCCAAAATAACAACATAGTTTAACAAGTTAGTTGGAATCATGTTCAAGAACTTCTCTCTCTCACTCCCCATGTAATCCATAGGATAAGTTACTAGTGGCATCCTAATAGTCCTACGGTGAAAGGCCACAATGTTTCTAGACAAAACTATAACATTGCGCACTCCAAGCATGGGTTTTTCAGACATTGACCAAATAAGTTGGAGTTTAAGATGATTCTTAAATAAAGTCATGGTTTTATGGCAACCTCAATTGTGTATGTCAAGGCCATTATCTCTATCTATTACAATAAGAAATGATTTGCAGCTAAATTAAATAGGCCATTAGGTTCTCCAAGCAAGCATTTAGCTCCATTCAAATTAAAGAGACCTCACAAATGTATATAAGCAAAACCTTATTCAGCATATATTTTAACTTGTGGATTATAATTTACTTTATCTGATATGAGACTTCGTACATTTACAGGTCTCAACTTAAACCAAGCTCTAATACCATTTGTTAAGAATGAGAGCGACCACCCGAAAACGGATAAGAGTAGCATAATCAAAGTAGAAACATATGATATTAAATTATATTAACTCAAAACTTTAAGGCTTAAGTTTAGAGGTTTTTTTCTTTATTTCATATTAATTATTAAATCTAACTTTATCTGATACGGAACTTCCTATATCATGTTCAGTTTGCTCACACTTAGACAACATAATAAACACATATGGCATTAAATCAATATTATTATTAATATTTATAAAAACTAAATAATCTATATATACTCGCACACACTGTACATGGTATATGTTGCTGGGAAGAGGATAATGAAAGGATTGTATGGAAGAGAATGTGATTCATGAATAGCGTGTGCATCCAAAAATTCAGTGGCAAGGAAGCAGAATCAAAGTAATGGAAGAGAGAGAATGAAAGGAATCTAGAACCAACTAGTTTTTGCACGAAATATTACTTGGCTTGAATTGTCTTTTCCTCAGTGTGGAATATAAGCTTGTGAGTATGCCCGCCCTGTGGCCTATGGGTGTGCGTGACTTCAATTGTAAAGTGTGTGTAATTGCCCTTAATTAAAAAAGAAAAAAAACAAGAAATCTCTTATAGTGCAGGATTAAAACTATGTCTTGATAGTTTTGTAATATGTTCCATCAGCTCTTGAAGAACAGTTTATTTGTCTCGTATTGCTTAACCCTATTGGTTGATTTAAATGCACAAGATAGGATATTTTTGTTAAGTAACCATTTTTTATTTACAACATGTGTCAATACGAGATTTAAACCTTAAACCTTGGGTTCATAAAGAGGTGGTATTATCATTAAGACAACTTACCATTTTTCATTGCCCACAACTATCTTTCTATTAGAGAAAATTCTATTAAGGCAAGGTCTATCATTGAACGTTGACACCTCTATTAGTGAAAGTTTAAATTTTAATTTATCACATTATGAGAAACTAATCCCTTTTCAGTGAACTTAACCTTATTGGTAGGGATGGTAGGATATTAAATATATAGAAAATGTTATAAGCATGTACCAGTGAAATTAATGTGAATTATAAACATTGAATAAGTAATGTTTTTAACCAAATCGAATTATATAGACCCTTCATTAATGAAAAACATAAATAGAGGTGGATGCATAAATAAATAATATTTTTTCATAAACAAATAAATCAAACAAATTATAAAGATTCTTCAATAGCTCCATGCGAATTCATCATCTATCGGCAAAGATATGGATTCATCATTTGCAATCTACTCTACCTATTCTTTTTCGGGGCCTAAATCTATCCTACCCATTTTGGTAATTAGTCCATGCGATGCACGGGGTATAATACTATTAGTGATAGTGATTATAAAAGGATAAGACTTATTCTCTCTTAATTATAATACAAATTATTATTAATTAATTAACATTTTTCAAAAAAAATTGGTTAGAATCTTAATTTTTTTAAAAAATTTACATATTTCTAATCGTACTCTTGAGATTAATAAATATGACATTTGATTTATTCAAAATACCCTCCTTAATTACTCAATAAAATAAGAATATAATTGGAAAAAAATATATAAACACCTATCAAGTGACCTATTTTTTATACCAAATAAAGCTTATAAATATAACTTACTCTTTTCTATCATAATATAAGGCATTTTTAAAAAATTTATTTGATAAAAAATATAAAGTATTAGATAATTTTTTTAACTATAACCCTACTTTATTTATTACTTTTTTCTAAGAAAGTTATACATTGAAATTTTAATTACTATTATTAAAATTCTTATATAAAGTATTCAATGAGTGTATAAATAAAAAAATGTGAATGTTTTTAAAAACTTAAGGTAAAACTAACATTATTCATAAACCATGAATTAGTTAATTATGACATATTTGTGATTTGGAGAGAGTATATACTTAACTTTACAAATTTAATATACTTACATTTAATTAAATCATGATAAGTAAACCTTAATATATTAATAAAAGTAATAATAAAATTTATTATAAAATAAATAATTTATAAAAGATATATAATTTTTAATTTAATTAAAAACAAGTATATCGAACAAATACATAAGATTAAGATATAAAAGGCATGAACAATCAATTTAATTAATTATAAGTAGTGAACAACCTCGTAAATTGTAGAGAGTTCTTTTGGGCCCACACGCTAGCCATGCGACGTTGTCCGAATCCGGGTATGCCGGGTCTGGTCATTTTCTGGGTCGATGGAAATAAGCATTTCGGATAAGTTTGCTGGATACGAGCCTTACTGTAGACACTACTCCTTTCGGCATCAACCCGGAAATTCAAACATCCGTTCGCGTTGGAGATTACTACTCAAAGTACTCATGAATGAACAAATGAAGAAATTACAGTGAATCCAGCAGCTGTTTTTATTCCAAGAAGATTTTTATCGCATTAATCTCTTGGTAAGCTAATATTTTATAATTCCCGCTCCAGTTTCATTCTCTTCATTTTGTTCCACCCTCACTGATAAGAAGCTGCTTTGTGTGTTTCTCATTTTTGCTGCATCTCGTCAAATACTTGAGGTCAAGTAGTTTGTTAGCAAGAGCTGAGAACTTAGAAGGATGGGAATTTTCGTTAAAACATGGAAGCGAAATTGCTATTAATATTTACCATTTTTTATAACTCGAGATCTATGTTTCAATTTTATTTTGTGCACTTTTGATCTTGCATTCGATGTGAAGATATCCTGATAAAAGTTAGGAAAGTCATCCGAAAGATATCCTTGAAATCTATTTGTCCCGCAATCAAAATCTGAAAATAAATCTTTCTGAGTAATATTAACTAAACTAAATAGTCATAGTGTGGTCCTAATTCCTTATTTTGTGTGGGCATTTTATTATATGTTACCATAAAAGAAGTTTCCTTGGCGGTTATTCATCTTACTTCGTATTGCCTTATTTTTTAGTTGAAATTCCTGCGGATAGTTCTTTTTGACATTTTCATAGAAAGACGACGATTGGCTGATTTGCTTAGATACGACTGCTCATCATTGACATGGAAATGGGACATCTTTTGGGATACAAGAAACAATTATGAGTTTTCTGTGAGTGTATGCAGAAGAATAGTTCTTCTGGATTGTTGCAAATCGATAAGTGAATTTAATTGGATATTGGCTAAAACTGCCTTATCACTTTCTAGTGCTTCGCCTTTTCCTCAATAGTACAAGTTAATTTTTTATCCGCTGGAGAACTTTTGGTCCAAAAAGGGAAAGAATTATGGTTGATTGTTTATCATTCCTTAAGCTGTTCATGTCTATTTCTTATCTCCTTTAGTCATTGGAAAATATAGTCCTGCTGGTGTACAAGTAAACGCTTCAGGCTTTTAAGGTGAAGCAAGCTTTGGTTTGTTGCCCAGTTCACTTCAAATGCTGAAGGGAAAGATACGGCCTTGATTGTGGGAATACCTTTCATTGCTTGATATTTGAACTGATCTCTGTTGCTTGTTTTCCTTGAATATGTTGAGTTGAATTCATATGTTAAGAGTCATGTACTCATAGCTCCTGATTTGGTGACTTATTTTTCAGTGACCAACTTTGCCACTTTTCAATTGATGTCAGGTGATGTATTTCTTAGATATTAGTGACTTATATGTAGAATGAAATTTGGTGTGCATATCTGGCTGAATGTTTAATCATGATATCGCAGTTGGAAGAAGGTTACTATTTAGCAATAATATTGTATAGTTTTTCTTATTTAATTGAAAAAATAGCATCTTGTTTACCTTTGTTCTCAGGTCATAATGATTATAAAAGGACTGTTCGGAAGATATGAAAGGTGGAACCCTGTTCATCCGACTTATGGAGCATTTTGGGGCATGGGTGTCGGCATTGGCTGTGGTGTTGGATGGGGTCCAGGATTTGGTCCTGAAGTGGTAGGCTATGTTGGAGCTGGCTGTGGTGTGGGTTTCAGTGTAGGTATCACTCTAGCTGGCTTTGGTCTGGGTCTTCCTATTAACTTCATCTTTCAAGCCCCTTTTCAAGGTAAATTCTTATAGAGTTGAAATATCAGTTTCTTTCTAAAGGTGTCACTCTATCCACAAAAGTTATGTATCTAGGAGTCATCATAAACTGGACCTCTTTCACCTGATGAATATGAAATCCTGTGCATTTAGATTTTGATATTCTTAATCTTGCAATCATGGTGATTAGGGGTTTTTTTTTTTTTTAAATCTTAATCTAGCAATTACAGCAACAAGAGGCTCTGCATTGGAATCAGCACATTTCAATGGTTTTCTTTCTGGAAAACATGTTGCTGGGAATAGCTGGAGTGGAATTGCAAGATGTGTTTCTTACCTGCATAGAGAGGCTGCGGAGAAATTATCTAGCTTTAGGCAAAGGCAGTTATTGATCAAGGGTAAGAAATTGAACCCCCCCCCCCTTTTTACTGGAAAAGACATACTTTCTTTGCTCACTACTTCTGCATGGGAAATTTTATGTGCATTCCATGATCAGTTTTTCAGTTCTGTGATGTATTGATTTTGTGCTTAAAAGATCAATGAATTTTACCCTCTATCACCTATTTGTTAGATTTGCAAGATCAAGAACTCAAGATATGAATTTCATTGATTAAATAATCTTTGTGTTGTACATCTGTTGATATGGTTACTTTCTTGAAATCCTTCCTTACTAGTAGTAGTAAACTGGTAAGGATAATCAAATTTTATGCATTTTCTGGTTAAAAAAATTATTTCAAAGGTTTAACCTGATGAATCATACTGTATTGGGTTTTCACTTTTTAACGTGATTTAATGCCATTACGAAAATGACGCCACTGCTTGTGAATGCTTCCCAACTCATGTTTGCTGGGTATTAGACTCTATGCTGCCGTGTTATGGACATGAATTATCATCTTGACATGAGCGACATAATGTTAGTTTAGTAAACATGTTTAATTCATTGGACTACCACATTAGCATATTCCATGTAAACTAAATAGTTGAACAAAATGATATGAGCCTTACACAATACACGTCAGAAGCTTATGTCTGTATTAACTTGAGTTTTATGACTGGCTTCATGTTGCTTGGGAGAACAAGAGTTAAAAACAAAAAAATGTTGTATGAGAGGAGCAAGTGACAAATGATCTTCTCATGGTAGTTACATTCTAAGATCCTCAATGTTAAGGAAGAATTATAAATCATGTGCATATGATGAGATGAAGAATTTTCAATTAAGATCATTTTTATGCTCCTTCAGTATGTGAGTTTTTGGTAGTTTCTGAATGGAGATCAGATTCAAAGATTTGCAATTTTCTTTGCAGGGAAAGATTGATAGCTTCATCAGATCCTTCGTTTCCATTAGTTGCTGAAGGAAGCGAAATTGACAACCTTCAGTCTTTCAGCACGAGGCTATGCACTACAGAATGTATTTTTGTCTAGATTTTTAGACAAGATGCTTGTCTTTTCCTTTTCTTTAATTGGTTCATGTGCATAGAGTTAATTCAAATCAGTTCAGTATTTTACTACTTTATAATGATGATTTGGTATGAGTTATTTAACTTCTCAAGAGCCCATACCAATGTAATACTAACTCAATCCTAACAAACCTTGTACATCTCTAGCTTTCATACAAATACTCCCAAGGGTTATTATTTATTACTGTAAACTAGACATTATTCCACAAAGTTTCATATTTTAGGAGAATATTCTAGCAGCTTATTTTGTAAATGGCTTAGATCTCGGGATAATAGTCCATGCATCATGCGTTTCTTCGCCACTAGAATCATGAACTTAACTATCTGTATAAACTTTGCACCAAAGTTTTCCATCACTATTGGGAATTGCATACCAGAGAATTTACATGGCCCAGCCTCTGCTTTCCGGATATCAACCTCAGGGGCACCTTTGATCTTCCAGACTTCAGAATCAATCACCGAGCTTCACAGCCTCAAATAGCTCCTTCAGGTGATCCTTCTTCATCGTACAAAGAATCTCATAAAGAAGAGGAATAGTGGCATTCGCCTTGTGAATGACCTGACCCCATAAAAAGTTATCCATGTCCTGACCGTTAGCTTCTCTGGGTTCAAGCAGCTTCTTCTTCTTTCAACAGTCTCTGCTTTTGCCTATTTTCAGGTACTTTTTTTGGGATACAACGGAAATAATTTTCAGCCACTTTCTTATCAGAGGGAATGCGTATTCCAAGAACCAAGTTGGTATGGAAGTGAAAACAGAAAAGAGATTGCAAGCAAGCACTGTGTTTGTCTGAAATGAAGCAGGGTTACAGCTGGTGGATAATGCTTCTTTGTTTGTTTGTTGTTGTTTGAACTTTGCTTGGTTTCTGTTGAATGAAATTTCATGGTATTTATTCAACAAGAAATAACGTAGGAAACAGGTTCAGGAAAAAGTACAAAATAGGTGAAATGTATGGAGACACAGAAGTAGGTAGGTAAGGATCTTGGGGAACAGAATAAGGAAAAAAAGTACAGAGAAATATGATGCGAGGGACTGAGTACGTTGTGGACGAGTATGGATATGGTTAAAATCCAAACGGAGAATTGGAGACTTGGAGCATATCATGTGATCTGTTTGGAAGGATCATTTTGATCCTTCGACAAAAAGCGAAGCGCCACTCAGTTTGACTTGTTACGACTGTCTAGAGAGGGTATCTACATCAAGAATGCTTTGACTCTGCTCTCAAACAACCGTTCAACGTTAACACAGTTGATGGGTAAATGCTAATTTTACAGCTTTACTTCCCCGCGTGGTGCATGTTACCTCCTTTAACTTTCGCATACGTTTGGTTACTTTGCTCATCGCACTAACAAAGATATTCAAATTATTTTGTGTCTATAATTTTAATTTAGTTGCAATTTAGTTTCTGAAACTTAACTCATTCAACTTAGTTCTTCGAGTTTCATCATATTAAAAAAAAAAATCATAGTTTTTCAGGAAGAAAGACGAAGTTGTAACCAAGTTATAAAGTGGATGAACCAATAAATTAAATGGTTAAACTTGAGAGATCTAGTTACATCAGATTAAATTTTAAAAATTTAGTTGTAATCAAATTAAAAACACGTAAATTACAAATTAATTTCTCACAGATGCTATCTTTAGGTTATTTAAATATTTTGTTAGCTAATATGTAAAGGAGCATATTACTTTCCTTCTATTTCTTTTCAACAATTAATGGCAGGAATGATTGACAACCACTATTATGGAAACTAGATATATTTTTTAATTTTTATACATTGTATAAAATGTAATCTCAATGGCCTTATACATGATTAATAAATAAAGTAATTTGCTATGTATTGTATGTCAGAGGCATTATATTGAATATTGAGCCTCATTAGTCATATAAATATAAAGTCAGAATTACAAACTTAATTATATTTTTTGTTATTCAATCATAGTTATTTTTATTATGGTTCTATAATCAAGATTATTTTCCACTTGTATTTTATCTTGCTCTGTTTAATTGTGTCCAAAACGACTCTGAATGAATTAGATCAGGAAAATGACATTAAACGTCATCCATAATAGGATTTTTTTTTTTTTGAAAGAGACGGTATTTTTTTTCCCTTTTTGGGTATTGCATAATTAATATCAGTTTAAAATATAAAATTTGTAACAAATTATTCAATATTCACTAGCCATGAATATTATATTTTTAAAGGAAAATTGTCGTCTTTTTTTTTTTCTTTTTTCTGAAAAAGGGCAACTCCACGCTGAAAGATTAGTCTTTTAGCAACCAACGCATCCTTCATTTTGAAGTATAAAGGTGAAAAAAAAAAAACACATATTGACAATAATGGACTCCACTTTTTTTAACCCTGCTAGCTGAAAAAAATCTCGTGATAAAAAAATATAAATTAAATTTTTAAAATTTTGAAAATGCAGCTGATCCATGTTAATATGAAAAAAGCTTATTATTGATATATAAAAGTCCTTCACTAAAAATTTATAAAGAATATACCATTAATATACATTAATATACAATGATACAGTATTGACAAATATAATAAATTCACACCGCAAAAAATAATAAATATTAAATTGTTTACTTGATTTTAACTTATAACGTGAACTACATCTACAAAACCCCATTTTTTACCATATCTTAAGAGTGAGACCCACCATTCTAAATTTATCTCCCTACTTTCCCATAATGAATTACTTGGATTCAATTCTATTCAACGCCGATGCTCAATCAGGCAAGAGATTTACATGAGCAGGAACCATAGAAATTCAAGGGTATGACTAAGTTACAATAAATTAAAGGTGAAGAGGGGAAAAAGAAGAAACAGAAATTCAACAGCAAAACTAAATTCCAGTACGATAAATTAAAAGGCAAAGACTGAACTTACAACATTAAAACAACAGAAATCCTTCAAGTAAATAGGAAGCTATGAAATGAAACCACAAATATGGAGCTGGGAAATTAATAATGTGATTCCTCTAAAACCAGTATGCTCAGTCTGAGAATTCTTCTTTCCAATGCCTGAGGAATTCTATTATATTTATTCAAAGCTTTCTATGGTATCTTACAGAGATCCACAGCAATCAACATTGACATCCGGGTTGCCTGTCGAATCCTTATTGGGTCTATAATCCATCACAGGTGAGCCCAGCTCCTTCTTCCATGGCCAAGTACTGATGAGAGTTTGAGGGGACTGGTAGTCCTGTTTCAAGCAACCAGTTGAACCTAACTGGCCACTGTAGACGAGTTGCTTGGATGTCACGGCATCGATGTTTGAATGCGGCTCAGCATCCGGCATTGCTTGCAGTTGAAAGCAGTTGCTAGCCATGACAGAACTATCACTTGATTCAGAGACAGTGTTTGAGGAAATGTGAGACAGCTGAGACCACATGCTGTCCGAGGAAGGGTCAAAACCAAGATACCTCACACTTCCCAGGTCTTTCTGAAAGAAGTCATGCTCATCTACTTCAGATTCCAGTCCAAACCTGTAAAGTGTTTAGTAGATAACAAGTTGCACTGTTCATTATAATCCATGTATCTATATGTCCTATAAAAACTCAAACAAGACGCGCCATTCATGAGCCACGAATAGTACGACACATTACATGGGACCCACACGCATTATGAAAAATAAATAAAATACAAAAAATCGACTAAGACCAGTTCACTATAATTCAAGAGAGGAATAGGAAATGAAAGAAGCATATCACCAATCAGATAAAAAAAGAGAAAGTCAATTCAGCAACTTCATTCAACAATCTAAACAGCAATTGTATTGGGGAAGGATGTGGACCTATAAACCACCATTATTGAATTGTCATTTACATCAATAATGATGAATGACATAAAATTCTCCCCTCTTCATATTCATGTCCACAGAATTTTGTTCCGACAATGTCGCAGACATCACCGAGAATACCATAGACAATGTTGAGAACTGTGAATTTTTCCAGTCCCAATGCCCCATTAGTTGATTCTAAAAGGAAATGTCAAGTTGCGATTTGCAAATATTGGAACCAGACTTCTAAAAGATTCTACCTTTTAAAACACAAAAAAATGTTGCTGTGCAAAAGGCAAGTCTAGTTTCAAAGCACAAGCTAGTTTACTTCCTTCTTACTCTTCCATCCCACACATCGTAATGATCCAAACATGTGAAGTAGCTTAGCATTACAGCAACCGTGTACAAGTCCATAAGATAATAACAATGAATCAATGATTGTGTCCCTGACACAACAACATCATTCACCCAAACAAATAACCACTCCACTGAGAATCTAGGACTCGCAGCAAGCATGATGTGACTCCATGTAAGTCAAACAACAGAAAGACAACACTGCATGCACACAGCTCAAACTATCACACAACGTCATCAAAATCACAGGGCTTCATCCGGAATACGTTCACAAGAAGATATGCTGCAATACCTGTACTCTTTACTGTTAATCTCACTGGGAAGAGACTCCATCTGAAGCTGTGATAAGTTGTTTCCAAGGTTTATACCCTCACGAGTACCATTAGTGTGAAGAGGCAGGCTGGCAAATGATTTTCCACAACCACTTCTGGTCCCACCACTAACCTCCGAAGACTGAGCAGGAGGATGAGCAGCTTGTGATGCTTCCACAGGCTTTCTTGAACGATGACGACGGCGAATCATGTGTCGCTCACAGTACTTTGAGTCTGGGTGAGCGTCTCTCGAACACCTCCATTTCTTGCCGTCGGTTCTCCGGCACCTTCCCGGTTCTGGGTCTATCTTCTTCCCGAAATAGGAGCCATAACCCACTTCAAAAAAAAAAAAAACGCAGAAAGAAGATTAATTGGTAATACTGGGCAGAAATTAGGGATTTGGGAGAAGAAAGAAGTGAAAAACGCAGGGATTAGAGGAAGAAGAAATTGGGGATTTTGTTGGCTCACGAGCTGAATGAGGAACCGGCATCAATTGAAGACTCTTGTGAATCGGAGCGAGAAGGTCGGGCGGAACGGATAATCCGGCTTTGAGATACTTAAAAATGAGAGCTTGGTGTTCGAGCTCCTGCCACTGCGCTAGCGTGAACGGCGACGGCTGGAGTCCCGTCCACATGGCCGGCGGAATGCTCATTTCAGTGTATTTGTTCCGCTGCTGCTGCTGCTACTGCTAGTAGTTAAAAGCACAACACAAAGAAGAGATTTGATTTCAATGGCATAGACAGAGATTATTAGCTGCATATATATAGCAAGGAAGGGGGAGAGAGGGAGAGAGACAGAGGTAGAGAGAGAAAGAGGCGGTTACCTCGGAGTGGGACAGACAGAACACGAGCCCGGCCATGGGTAGGATCGATTAAGGAAGCTTTGAACAGTAACTGAAGAGGATTGCTCTAATCGGGGCAGCCGCAGTATGAATGTTCGTGATAAGAAACTACCGTGGCCCCAGGTTCATCTGTACTCACCCGGTCTTATACATAAAGTCAAATGTCCAGCGAGGAATTGATGGTGTATTTCTTTTAATTTAAGAATATAATTAAAAGTGATTTATATATAAATGAAATATCTATAATAATATATGTACGTATTACATGAGATCTGATCCGTGGCGTGCTCGTGCATTTTCGAACAATGACATTGTTTCAATAAACATAATATTAAAAATTAGGTAATTTTAGTCAATTAAATTGATAAATTGTTGATTTAAGGGTTGAAGTCCAAAAATAAAAAAAAATTACTGTCAAGTATATTAACAACTTAATTAAAATCATTGATGTGTGCCAATGGTTTTAGTTTTACCAATAGCATTACCTTAATTATTAATAAACTTTACAATAATTAATTTTTTTAATGAGTGACTTATATGTAATTCTTTCATAAATCAATGCTTGATTTGATAAAATATTTCGTTCTAATTATATTTTAACTATGATGTTAATCATTAATCATTGCTCGTGATATGTAACTATTGAGGCCCCAGGTTCATCTGTACTCGGTCGGTTTTATACATAAAGTCAAATGTCCAACAAGGAAGTGATGATATATTTCTTCTAATTTCAATAATAAGATAATTGAAAGAGACTTATTTATAGAATTGAACTAAATATCTATAATAATGTATATTTAGTTACATGACATCCGTGACATGCCCGTGCATTCTCGAGCAACGGTATCGTTTCAATAAACATAATACTGTTTGGCCAAAAAAAAACACAATATTGAAAATCAAGTTAGCCTTGCCAATTAAATTAATAAACTGTTGAATCATTATTTTGGTCGATCCAATATAATATTTCATTTTGATCACATTTTAACTATGACTTTGATTATTAATTGTTGAATCAGTGTCATAATTGGTTCAATAATTAATATGATTTTCAATACTTTATGAATAAGTATTGTTAGATATAATTAAAGGTAAACGTGGCAAAAACATTTTATATGATTAATCAAAGCACTTTTTTTCAATGAATAAAAAATGAAATTGAAGTTTTTTTTGGAAAGTTTTGAAATTGAATTTATATTTTAGGAAAATGATATTGAACAGCTCTAAAGGGATCAATCTCATCATTAGTTTAATCCAAACTCTAAGGAAGCTAATATCTATTAGAGGTGCCAAAATTTAAAAATATTGATAATACACTAGGAAAAAAAATTCAGTTAATGAACAAATTTAGCCTTAAAGTATTTTTCAAGAAACATTAGGCATTATATGCTATATGATGGTTCAAATTTATTCATGAACTAAAAAAATATAGCATCTAACATCCTCCATCTAATACAAACAAACGTCTATTTATTCTTAAATGATGGACTCATATTCATTTAACAATTTATCTTTTCTCTCTGTCGAGCTTGCTTTGAACAATATATTCACCATTCTTGAATCTATTACCAATTTGTATAGCATGATAGCCTCCCCACTGGTAGTCCTTGGTGCCTCATCCTTCATAGTAAAACCACTTATCAAAAGAAGAGCATCGAATGAAATTATAATTATTCATTTCTTGCCATTTTTAAATTTGGCTTTGCTTAAACATTCATTATCAAATCTATTATTGCCTACATTTTTTTTTCCTTTTCAATTATAACTTGAAAAACGAATCAATGGCCTCGATACTCGAAGTAATAAGAAAATAATATGCAAGTTTGTCAACAAGAGGGAGGAAAGGGAAAGGAGAAGTAACTATCAACGATGTACACTTGAATGAATGTTAAAACAATTGGTGGGGACAAGAACTTGAACTAAAGCTCTCAAACCAAGTGCATCAATTCCATCATCGTTAATGATCAAAAGCTTGGGTCATCCATCATCCTTTAATTTTTAAAATTTATTATTTAATCTAGATTGTGGAACTTGTCTTCCAAATCATATTCAAGAGCAATACTCATGCCTTTGTCCCTATCTCATATTATACCTCTTCAACCATCTAACCAAATGTCCCAACCCTATATTTTCTCATATTTGTATCCTTCCTATACAGATGCTCTCAAGGTAGAGGTCTTTGAGATGGGGGTCCAAGAAGGTGAAGGCATCGAACACATGAACTCTGATACCATTCATATTGCCTTAGTTCATGAGACAAATTTCTAAGAAGTCCTTGAGAATGGGCTAGCTGTAATGAATGTGGGACTCACAATAAAAAAATAAATGGATATTTGTTCAAATTAAATAAAGAATGCTGGATGCTATATATTTTTTTAAGTTCATAAATTAATTTACATTGCCTTATAGTATAAGATACCTAATATATCTCAAAAAATAGTTTAAAGTTTTTTTAGCTAAAAAAATAAAGTTAAATTTATTCTTTAACCCTTTTTTAATATATCATCTTGCACAAGGCACACGTCGCCTACTTATTCCCAACACACATATAAATATCTCTTGTAATCCCTTCTTTTGAGTCACTTGGGAATTAATTTAGAACTCTCGTATCCACAAAAAGGACCATGTCACTTGAACCAAAAATTGTCAGCAATATAAAGAAAAACTTACGTGAGTTGATAGATTGTCGAGCGTCATTTACGTATGACTTGTTAAAAGATTAGTTATCGACAAAAAAAAAATACTGAGGTTTCTAATGAGAAGTGTAGTAGGAATTTAATAAAATTTAGTTGTGAGTTATTCTATCTCAGTTATAAATGGTTACAAATCAACTATATGTGGTGAATAATGTTAGTGACTGATAAGATGAGTAATCAATTTTTCGAGTTTCATGAAATGTTGGAAAACCTTGCATGAACCTCAAAAATCAGTTAACTTATCTACTTAATTGGTTGCCATTTTCTTTCTTGTTTACCAGCGATTTTCAACACAAATCATTAACCCAATCATGATTTCGAAGATTAATTGAGAGTGAGAGTCGTTATAGGTGATAATCATTCAGTTGTAGTACAAACCCTAGTTATTCAATTGACCTAATGACATAGAATAATTATTCTGATTATCTTACCAAAATTAAGAAAAGATAGTTGAATTGGTAGAAATATATTTATGTGTTCTCTTGCATTGTCATCACTTTCCAAATGCACTTTATGGGGTTACTAATATTGTAATTTTATCTTTCAATTTTCCCTCATGTTTGATTGTGCATCACGATTCATTAACTCATCTGAAAATATTACAAAATTCTTGTTAAGACTGTCATTGTTTGTAATTTTTATGCAAAATATAAAAAAGTAAAAAAGTTGAAACCATCGTCATTTCTAAAGCTTTACACTTCATGATGAATATGTGTTTGAGGAGAAATAATAAATAAGGACATTATAAAAATATTAATATCAAATTAAAAAATTTAGCATTGAAACATAGTAAAAAAATACTGAAATTTAATAACATCAATGTTAAAAAAATTTAATTTGATATTAATATTTTTGCACGATCTTTATTTGTCATTTTCTATATTTAAATTAATTAATAAATAATATATAAATATTTTTTGAATTTGAAAGTATGTACTCGCGGTCTTACTAAACCTTCGGGATAACTCACCTAAATTTTTAATTATTAAAAAAATTTAAATTTTTTAAGGTGTGTTCTGCACTTGCACCCATCTTGGATTTACTCTACGTTCTAATTTCTAACGCCCTTGTCTTTAATATTTGCATTTATTAGCCGCATTGGTAATCCAAGTTAATTATTTGGGAGGTTTAATTTTAATTAATGTTTTAGTAAGTTGACTTTGGTTATTTGTTTGAATTCATTATTCAAATTCGTAACGTTTTAAAATAGTCCATACTAATTATTGCGTGTTTCAATTTCGACTTCCATATATATCTTATATCAAATTCAAACAATGAAACGCGAGTTAACATAACGCTTCGTTGCACATGGTTTTGCTCGAATCTTTTTTTTTTTTTTTTTCATTTCATTGCCCAATATTATGAAAAACCTGATTGCCACGGCTGTGTAAACTAATTTAGACCTCATTATGTGAGGCTAAAGTTGTATAAAGGACAGACAAGACAAATTTTATCCTAACTCAAAATTTGATATATTTTTTAAAAGGATTGAGTTAGATAATTTGTAATCTAGTCATGTTCAAGTTTAACTTAAAGTTGAATAAGATCAAAGTTTGTCCATAAAATTGAAAGATTGATCTTGATAGTCTAGTACCTCTTTGTTTATTTTTCCTTTTTTCTTCTTAAGAGATAGCAATTTAAACTTAATAAATTCAATTAAAATAACAAAAATACTTATGATTATACAAAAATTTATCACAAAACATGAAAGTTAATCATAATAAATCCATCACAATTTTCAATAACAATAAAAAGTATTTTAGTTACAATCCATAATAACGTTCAACAAATTTTAACATGTTTAAAATACATTACATCAAGTTAACAACAAATCTTCACATAAGCATATCATCTAGCGTCAATATTTAAATAAAATAATTATGTGCACACATATAAAGTGAATGAAGAGAAGAGAGGTAGGAAATTAGGGAATAAATTGCACTCAATAATTAGATCTCAGGCTTCACATTCAACTATATTAAAAAATAACAATACTTGTAATTATATTTAAATAATTTTATAGGATTGGACCAAATCAAGTAATTTGAAAGCTTAGTCTCATGTCCATTCTAATCCAAAGATGAAATTTGGTCTTGTTAGTCTTTTTAGTCCTTCTAGTTAATTTTTTCACAAGACTAAATTGAACTAAGTTTGTTTGGATTGGATTAGGTTGGATAAGACTACCAAACTTTTGCACAACCATTGGTATTACCAATGACGGTCTCATTAATATTTCAAGAATACATTCAGCATATTTATTTAATATAATTGCATATACCAAGACTTAAAACTTGAATATCAAAATTTGTTGATTCCACTCCATCGACTCTAGTTTTTAACTTCTAACAAAATCAAGTAAAACAAGTTATTAATATTAATGGGATTAGGTATAGTAAAAGAGTTATTCCTTTACAATATGGCAAATCAAAATTTTAATTTTTATTAAAGGAGGTGTTCACATTTAATACGTAATTATATTTCAAAGATGATTGACTCTAATAAGGGAATGTATACACACAAAATTAAAAAAAAAGTTTATCAACATCTGTGATTTTCAATAATAAAAAAAAACTCTTTTCAATTCAAAATATAAACATTTCCTTTCAATTAATCTTAGTTTAAAATATAATCAACTTAATACATATAATTTTTTTTCATTTTACCCTTTATATTTATTAACTTAAATATTTGTGTAAAGTATTTTTACTCATCATAAAATGCTCTGACAATTGGAATTGGAGGTAAAAAAAAAAATTTTTGAGAGTGAGAACTTTATCGATATGTGAATTTTTTTCAAAAATTACTTATATTTTGAACCTAAAAGAGTACAAAATAACAATAAAATCGTCAATGAGCTAAACGTAAGCATGTTAGAGGAGCTGCTAATCTTCAAATGGTGCGATGGACCTAACTTTTTCAATTAAACAGCGAGTTTTGGGGCCCTTTATTACAATTTTTCCAGACGCAAGTGCTAAAAAATAAAAGATAAAAATAAATAGAGGTGAAGAAAAATGAAAAAAAAAAAAAACTACACATGATTGGAGGTAGACATGGTATCGATATTGTTATAAAAGAAATTATAAAAAATATAAGACGAAAAAACACAGGATCAAGGATGTTGTGGTTTCTACTATGTGCTATTGCTCTAATGATTGTTGGAAACTTCCTAGGGACTTGGAGGAACTGGATGAACATTTTTAAAGTGGGTACGTCTTTGGGTTCAAGGCATTGGAAGGGCTTATGTAGATGCCTTGTTTTCTCTTTTATAGGCAAAAGTAACAATTTTTCCCTTGTTTATTGCAATTTTTAGGATTATTTATTGCAATTTTTCTAAAGTTTCCCCCATATATCTCATTTACTCTGAGCGTGTCCATCATCACTTCTTGAAATAGCATCCTTCCTTTTAGAAGCATGAATTTGGGTTTTGGGTCAAATAAAATTTAAATTTAGCCCAAACAATTTTATGGACAATTAAGATAAGCAAATTTCAAGCATAACAAAGGGAATAATTGTGACATATATGTGCGTGACATTGGATGTTGGTAAGTACACAATTACTTACATTATGATCCTTCTGGTTTTTATTTTTCCTTTTGTTGAATTAATAACATAAGATCAATAACTGATGATTGAACCGTTGAAGTCATATGGATAATGGATGAAATAAAGTAGCTAGCTTTGAGAAAATAAGGAGAGAGTAATAAAAGTACATATTATTCAAAATTTGTGCGTTTCACGTATATATTTGTTCTTATTCCTTTCTCTGGAATCTAACAGTCCATTGGGAATGTTAAGGAAACATTTCATGACACTCTTTTTTTTTTGCTCAAACCAAATCTAACTTTAAAACCTTAAAAAGCCAAAAATACAAATGAATGAAGTGGTTAAGACAAGTAAGATTCGAGAATATAATTAAAAGGAAACAAGAATAAACATGCACGTGATATCGAATATATGTGTATTTATCAAATCATTTCTGCACAAGCTTTAAGTTTTCTTCTTTAATTACTTGCTTTCTATATCCTGGCGTGCATGAAGACATTACTCGGTATATCTTAGCATAAGGACATGGTAAAAGCCTTGCGGCCTCCTGGTCTCTAACATGTTTTTTTTTTTAATAATGTTTTAATTTTCAAAATTTGTTTTCTTTTTTTTATTTGAATCATCAGTTTCTACATATAAAACAAGATATATTTCCATATTTTGAAGCCTTAAAATGATAAAGTTTTGTACTTTTTTAAAATTTTTCAAAAATAAAAAGTGTAATTGTGATATTTTTTTAAAATCATAAAAAATACAGAATTTTACCTTTTTAGGAGTTTGACATATACAAATGTTTTTTATTTTATATAGAAGTGGATAATCTAAAGAAAAAGAAAAAAACAAAATTAAAAGGTTGGGATATTATAAAAAATATTAGAAAAAAGTTTACTAGAGATCCTAGCCCAAAGCCTTGGAGGGAAAACAACATTAAGTCAAGTCAAAAGGCAAAATTTTTTACAAACAAGCAGTGACACATTGAAAATCTGAATATTGATGTTGTTTTGGGATGAATGATTGACAAGTTATGCAGCACAATAATTTGTTTTTTTGTCCTAAACATGATGGATAGTGATATTTCAGTCTCTTATACGTGATTAAATCCTTGATCTCCATGATAAAATTGATGAGGGAATCGCTTTAGGATTTTTTTTTATTATTAATACAAGTGAGAGCCTCAGTCAAATCACAAAAGATGTTGACTTTGTGAAAATTACCATCACAACAAGAACCAATCTTTTCTAATTCCCAAAAACTCAGCAACTGGATAAGGATGGAACCACAAAAGCCCTGTAAATTTTTTTTACCAGCCTTTTTTTGAGTTTTTACAATTTTTTAACATCTAATTTTTTTAAAAAAATGTTTAACATTTTTTTATAAAATGAGTAATGTTTTTTAATTAAGATATCCTATTAAATACAGGTAAACATGATAACAGTGTGTACTTTTATATTTCTCTATTTCTATTTATACGTAATTTTTAACATATTTTATCAGAATCAATAAGAACATTAAAACTTATTAATCCTGTCTTAAAATTTTTTTATCTCTATTAAATATATATATTTTAATAATATATTTGTTCTTTTTAACATGTAATAAAAGATAAAAGGAAAAAATTGTTATGAAAATTTAGTGATGTGGCTTGTAAATATGATAAAAAATTTTTTCTTTATTTTGTAAATAAGACTAGAAGAACTATAATTAACTATGCTACTAATTTATTGAGAGATGTAATTTTATTAAAAATATTTTAATTGCTTCCTTATTTCAAAAGAAAAGGGGGAAATCTTGCATAGATGCACACACGAAAGTCATGTGACAAATGTAATGTCTTTTAAACTTGCCCAACATAATCACACTCGACATTAATTACTCCGCCACCAACCTTTTTTAGTTCTGGAATGTTCTATTGAGGGTTTCGTTGCGCATCAAAATGATCATGAAAAAGCTTCAAGTTTTCCCCCAGCTCTACCACCTTTAACAATCAATAATTAATTACTGAGTTATATTCACACGACTTTAATGGTTGTGCCACTCAACTACACGGCAATATACTCCTTTTAATTGTTAATATAAGACAAAGTTAATTAACTTTGTACTTATTAAAAAATATTTTTTAAATTATAAAATATTTTTAAATAAAATCAAATATACTAATAAAGTTTACTAAATATATTTTACAGCTTTATTTTTTTAAAATAAAAATATAGACTTTTAAAAATATCTTTTATCTAATATTTTATTTATGAAAAAATATTAAAGTGAGAGAACATAATAAGAAGAGGAATATTAAAAAATATCTATGTAGATCTACAATAATTTTGATATGCTTTACAATTATGCAAGATTAACACGCTCTTTTTGAATATGCAAGAGAAATGGACCATATCAATGAAGGCAGATAAGTAATTTTAACGCTCTTATGCTGATTTAAAAAAATATTAATCACTCGTAGAAATATGTAAGATATTCAAAATCAGTCTTGTGTTTGAAACAAGAGGAGTATTATTTATATCACATAATTGTCACATTATGCATTAGTTATAATTTTTCTTACTTAATTAATTCCTGATTTTTAAATTTAAAGAGACAAATTAACCTTGAATCTACGGATTTTTTTGGCCAATTATATTGCCCTCGCTTAGCTGGATGCCGCTCACGAAAAAAATGGCTTATCCAGGCCGGTGCATCTACACGTGGCGAGTTCAAGGATCGCGATTCAATAACTGATACTCACTCGTCCTTTCAAAAAAAAAAAAAAAAAAAAACACTCACTCACTCAACCGAAAAAAAAAATATTAATAATAATACACTCATTTACTCACAAATTAAGTTATTTTTAACTAAATTACCTGTACAATAAATTATATATATATTTCTTTTATTTTAATTTATAAAATATTTTTAATAAAATCATATATATTAATAAAATTTATTAAATATACATTATAATTTTAATTTTTTAAAGCACAAATAAAAATATCTTAAACTGCCCTAATTTAATATAGTTTTATTTGTAAAGCATTAAATAAAGTGAAAGAAAATATAATAAGAAAAGAATGATGATATTAAAATTGACATAATTAATAAAATATTATTTTTATTAAATTATTTAAAAAATATTTTATTTTTTATTAAAAAATATAAGATATTTGTTAACAATTAAATATTAAAAAATATAAAATAATTTCAATATTTTAAAATATAATTAATATATTTTAAAAATGTTCATTATAAATAAATTATTTTATATTTATTTTAAAATAAAATAACGTATTAAACAGTGATGGATATAAAAAAATTATATTAATTTAAAAATAATTTATTACTTTTATGGAGAATATGAAATTTTTAAGCAGAAAAAATATAAATAAGTATTCTATAATGAGTGAGAGAGGGTATTTAAAAAAGAGAGAGAGAGAGAGAACAAAATTTCCCACCGAACTTTCCCAGTCAAAGTATTTTGTATTCTCATAAAATCGACATAGTAATTAAGGAATCAGCCTAAAAGTTACTATATATCCATAATTTCCCTTTGTGTTAATTCGGTAATTTCAATTAGCAAAGATGGAGACTTTTTCTCTGACTAAAAATGCTGTAGACTTTTTCCAGTTCAGCACCGAACCAGAACGAGCACCCGGTGGTAATTTTTGAGTCCAGAGGCATCCCCGAAGAAACAGACCCGAGAGGAAGAAGCTCCCCCCCCCCCCTTCTCATCCAAGCCATGAGCCTCTTCGGTATAGGCAGGTGGGTGTAAGATCTTAGATTTTGACTAATAATTCATGCTTATGGGGTGTCTTCCTAATCAAGTATTTTTGTTGTTTCAGTCTTTTGATTTTGCTTTGAATGGTTATATTCTTAGCTGTCCTATGATCCCGATCTGCCTTAGTGGGTAACTTTTTGTTCTATGTAGAGTTGTTAAAATCTGATGATTTATCTGTTTCTGGATTTAATCTGACATCGTAATCGGACTCTTAAAATTTCGCTATGTCTTGTAATTTGCGTCAGCATTTTCTGTCTCTTCCAAAACGCAAAAGAGTATGTAAGAAAATTTGGCGAGTAGTTATACTGTTTTGTAATTTATCATTTATCCTTTGATCCAATGGTATGCGTTCAATAAAGAAGTGTTCACAACTTTATTGACATGACTATAACACGAACGATGACTAACTGGTCTGTGGCATTGAGATTTTCCATAACGAGGTGGTTTTGTGGATTGCGGAAGTTCTCTATTGAGCCTGTGTGCATATATGTTGGATAATCAATAATTATTAGGTTTTTACATATAACTTGGCATGGAATTCCATCAAAGCACTGGAGTTCCCGTTTATGCATGGTAAATTAACTAACTAATGTTTTGTCTTCCTGTCCCGATCTCATCTTGTCATTTTAATTAAGCTTGGATTTTGCGTAGACCTTCCAAGTGTCATAATTATTGGATCTTAAGCAATTTTTGCCTCCCATTCCCTAGCTTGACTCCTGCTGGCTTACCACAATGTTCTTGACCTGTTTTAAGCCGAACACAAATTAGATTACAATCCTTATTGTTGTAACCTTATCTTGACGATTTTATCAAAATTGACTTGCTTAGAAAATCCAAGCGTAAATAGGATCAAACTTCAGCTAGTACATAGCAACGATTACCTATGATTTTCCCACTTGAATCCTACTGGCCTAACAAAATAGTCCTCACCTATTCTCTCCAAGCATAATGTTAGATTTTTTTTTTTTGGGCTGGCAACATAATATTAGATTAGGTTTACTGATTATTGAGTTTCTCTTAAAGTGCTTGCTGTTGCAACCTCTTGTTGTTTTGATTAAGATTGGATTTTGCTAAGATACTCCAGGTGTAAAAAGGATCAAGCTTTGGGTAGTAATGAACTAATGAGTACTGCTAATTCCCTGATGTGTTAGATTAAGTTGACCCAATTTTCGATTATGAAATGGGGATGAGGAGGAGATTTAACTTGTACCATTGCGTTGTCCTTGCAGAATCTGTTATGTCATTAATCTGGTGTTATTTTTGTTAATCTACATAGCCATGCTTCCATCATTCCCTGTCTCCAAGAATTAAAATTTGATGTGGAATGAATTGTTAATAGGTTTTGATTGGCTGACCATAGTATTGCAGTATGCTAATTGCATCTCTTAAACTCTTAATGCAGATTGAATTTGTCTTTGTTGAGATCATGACCAGTTGAAGAACCCTCATGGTCATGCTTGAAACAAATTATTTTAAGCTTTTATGCAGAAAAATGATGCAGGATGTCCCAAAACTAAGCATCCATCTTTTGAAAATTGCATCTGTGCTTTTATAACATTGATGCAAAAATTTGGGGCATCATCTAACCTGTTAATTGCTACTTTGCTGCTCCTGAGACTGCCACAATTGCATTTTCAGTACTTGGCGCACCACATTATGACATCTTTTGATAATTTGGGTAACCAAATAAAAAAAGATCTACAATAAAGACATAAGCATACATCAAAACTGTGAAGTAATCCAGTTTCCACAGATGCATACTTGTATTTGAAAGACATTGCTTATAACAACAACAACAACAACAACAAGCCTTTATCTCACTAGGTGGGGTCGGCTACATGGATTGCAAGACGCCATTGTGCTCTATCATTTATCAAGCTTTAAGGAATATTATTAATTAAGAGATCGCGTTCAACAACTTCCAAGAGTGTTCTCTTAGGCCTTCCTCTACCTCTCTTAATCGGACTCAAAGTTATATGTTCCACTCTTCTCACTGGTGCCTCCCTTGGTCTTCTTTGTACATGCCCAAACCATCTCAACCGATTTTCTACCATTTTTTCCTCAATAGGTGCCACCCTCACTTTTTCGTGTATGTGCTCATTTCGAATTTTATCTTTACGTGTATGTCCGCACATCCATCGTAACATTCTCATCTCTGCTACTCCAACTTTATGCTCTTGCTGTCCCGTTAGAGCCCAGCATTCACTACTATATAACATTGCCGGTCTGATAGCAGTGCGATAAAACTTTCCAGAATAATTTTGAGGATAATTTTGAGGAATAGCATGGGTGCAACTTTGCATGATTAGTGCCTTCGTCAAAGTTTCCATAACTATAGTGATTATGTTTTGATTGATTCTTTTCCATCACTATATTGGCGTGTTTTACCTGATGAATCATTCTGCAACAGAAGCCAGCGAACATTCCGACCAAAAAAGAGTGCACCTTCTGGTAGCAAGGTTGGTCCCTTTTATTGAAATATATTCTGGGATCTGCTTATCCAATTTGATGCATTTTGTTCGTTGAAATTGTTATTACGGTGTATTGCAGGGAGCTCAGCTTAGACAGCACATTGATGCCACATTAGGAAGTGGAAATCTGAGGGAAGCAGTAAAGCTGCCTCCTGGGGAGGATTTAAATGAATGGCTTGCTGTCAACAGTAAATTTCATTCTCTCTCTCATGCTTTCTTGAGAACAGCGTATTTAACTGTTGCATTTTTGTCTTCTCTTTCAGATTATAGTCTTGCCTGAATTTATCCCTTGTATGCATCAGCATAATACTGAAATACAATAATTTTCTGTTTCTGGCCCATATTGCAGCTGTGGACTTCTTCAATCAGGTGAATCTGCTTTATGGTACCCTAACAGAGTTCTGTACTCCTGAGAATTGCCGGACAATGTCTGCTGGACCTAAGTATGCAAAATTAATTGAGTTGCTTTCTTTTATTTGAAACAATTGTCCAGCATGATATTGAAAGTCTTTTCAAAGTTATCTGTGATGATTTTTTTTTAATTATATGATTATTGAAATCCGGTTAGATGTTACTGTCAACCATTAATTCTTTTAGCTGAATTGCGTTTTTCTTACTTGAGGCAACAGGTAGCTACAAAAAATTAAGAATGATGGGTTGTGTACTTGTGTTGTCAAGCATAGATCATTTAGCCATAAATTGTCAATATCTACATGTCAGGACTCAGAATCCCCTTTGAACAGAAGTTATTAACCTTCATTATCTTTTATCGTTATTTTTCTTATACCATAGTACTTTTGATGATTTTATTAACAATGGGGATCTGGGTGTGTAGAAGTTATGAACCAAAAACAACTTAAACCAGATGTTAAAAGTTGTTCCACTCTTCCAATGGCCTTGTGCCTTGTGGTTAAATTTAGAGAAAGCCGGTGTGGTTCCTACTCGTATTGTGAGCCAAATAATCATTTTTTGGGGTTGGCCAGTTTTTTTAACATCTCATGTCAATTGAAAGAGATAGATGGTAGTCTCATTATCCTTGCTATATAAAAGCATAGAAGGCAGAGTTTTCCCTGAAACGCATTTTATTTTGTAAGTGCAATAGAATCTTTTATACAAGCTTGCATAAATGATGAGCTCACTACTTGTAATTTTGAACTGTCAAAACGCTTTGGTCACCAGTACCTTTCTTATCAAATATCATTCTGTCAATGTTAATGATGATTCCAGCCGCCCCTAGTTCATTTCAAAGTCATTTGTTCTATATTTATTTGTGTTCTTATGTGAAAACTTACATAGGTACGAGTATAGATGGGCAGATGGTGTACAAATCAAGAAGCCTATTGAGGTTTCTGCTCCAAAATATGTAGAATATCTAATGGACTGGATTGGAGCACAGCTTGATGATGAATCCATATTCCCTCAGAAGCTTGGTAGAGATTATATTTTGTTGTATCCTAAAATCTTAAAATCATTACCACTAATTATGTACTCTAATATATGGAATTATGCATGCAGGTACACCATTTCCCCCCAACTTCAAGGATGTGGTGAAGACAATATTCAAGCGATTGTTTCGTGTATATGCTCACATATACCATTCCCACTTCCAAAAAATTGTGAGCCTTAAAGAAGAGGCCCACCTAAACACATGCTTCAAGCATTTCATCCTCTTTACCTGCGTAAGTTTCATGATATTCATTACTGATTTGTTCTGTGCATTTGTAATGATAATATCATTTCTATCTTTTCCTCCCCTGTGTTAGCTCCAATAGTCCTGTATGGCCTTAATTTTTCCCCCAAGGGCTTTTCAGAAACCTCTCTTTCCTTGGCTAATATTGATCTCCGTTGTGTTGAAGAAAATCATTTTAGCCATGGTTACTATAAGTTAGATATTAATAATAAAGTCTTAATCATGCAGGAGTTTGGGCTGATTGACAAGAAGGAGTTGGCTCCACTTCAGGAGCTTATAGAATCCATAATTGTTCCATACTGAATAATTGATGGAATCATATAGGAAGCATAGCTAATGTATTGAATTTGATGAACACTGCTCATTAATGTTTGACTAAAGAAACCCCCCATGTATGCATTCTTCTGGCATAGGGTCTTGTGACTGTAAGTGAAGCTTCGTTATTCACACAACAAATAGGAGTGGTAATGGGGCACCATGAATGGCTGCTAAATATTTTTCTGCTTTACGTTCCCTGCTGGAAAGCTTGTTGAAGAATATACAAGTCAGTGCTAACGATCTAATCATGTAGATATCTCTCTGTTGCTGATTGATTATCTAGACTTTTTCAGTTTATGCTTGAAGTTGAACTATCAATTACCCTGTGTAGCACCTTTTAATTTTGACGTCCTCCTTTGCACCTGGGGTAGAATAGAAGAAATGAAGCTATACAGTCAATGTGATGATGTTTAATTTTACGGATTTTGAGAAATTCTAAACATCTCTTGCATCCCCATTATAAGAGCGATGAGCTAATAAAATTTCAAATAAAGTGAAATGTGAATTGGCGAGCCTATTGTAGCAATCGTTTAACGAGTTTCTTGTTGACAAAGCATATTTATATCGAGTGCAAAGAGTGAATGAAAAACTTGTCCGTTACATGGAATGAAATAAAATAAAAAATAATAAGAAAGCGAGGTTCCATTCCTTTATTGAGATTTTGCAGATTTTGTTGCTGAGATTTTTGCAGCGTAAGAATTTAGCAAAAGTTAGCTCATGAGTGATCAGAGGATTGGGTTATACAATCCAAGAGAACCCGGTGAGCCCTTCTTAAAAAACATCGCACCACCACCACCACCACCTATCATAATTTGCTTCCTCTAGTGTTAAATATAAAAATTAGATAATTAATTCTTATAGAGTAAGAAAATTAATTGGGTAAATTATGTGTCATAATAAGGGTAGTTTGAAAAAAAAAAAAAAGACTGTAGGAGCCAAAAGGCCTTATGTTTACAATCAAAACAATCTCAACTTCCCAAAAAAAAAAAAAAATCTCAACTGGTCCATACGTTTAGAAGTGGAGGGAGGACAATGCATTGTTGCAAAAAGAATATCTTCATTTTTTATTTATTTATTTATTTTTTACTTTTGATCTCTAAAAAGTCATTTCACAACAAAAATATTCTCTCATTTAACAGCTGATAACAATATTACACATGAACTTCCATGCTCTTATTATTCCTCAAGTGACCAGACAAAAAATTGGAATATTACAGACTACACTTTCAATCATGACCTAATCCATCCTGAACAGAATGCAAGCTCTTCACATTAGAATTCCCATATCTTGAAGCTGCAAAGCCATATGCTACAACAGTTCCAACAAGAACTACAAACACCAAAAGAAAGAGCTGAAAGTTGGCAAGCAATTCACCCCTAACCTCACTGTTCTCAGAATGGCACATGATCTCATCACCCTTAAGAACACAACCATGCGGCATCATGGGGCCATAAAGAACAAAGGCAGTTTGCCAGAACCAGATGCCTTGGAGTGTTATGGCAACGCCACTGCATAAGTCTGCTGGAAAGCTGGTAGGGAAGATGGCGCCAGCAATCGCTGACACAATGCAGAGTCCTATGAGAAGCACAAGGATGGTGTGGAAGTAACCTTCAAGACCCTTGTGGGTTGTTGAGTGAAAGTAGAATAGAAGATACTCTGCACAGAATGCTGTGGCAGCTATCAAACAAAGAGCACCTTCCGGCAATGTAAAAAATCTGAACGTGGAAAAAGCAATTTGCAGGAAGAATATGCTTAGCAAGGTGGAAAGAAGTGATTTTACAAATGAGATTTTTTTTGAGCCCCTAAATAAAATTTATAATAAAGAGACTGTTACTATTGAGTGATAACAACAGAGTATAATAAATATTACACATTTCTATTTCAGTGCCAAGAAAAAGGGATTCTTTTTCATTAAGTACACCAAACATGGCCCGAATTCTTAGTCACTTGGTGGTAGATAAATTGATATCATGCTAAAATCACTTACATGTTAAAAATTATACTATTTTTTGGAAGTGGTATCTTTTCACCCCATAGTGTAGGTTTTCAGACCTTTGAACTCATCTTGTAATCAAAGGAAATAGTTTTAAGTTGTGTGAGTGAATGCTAATTAATAGTTCTCTATTACGACATTTAGGAAGTTTAAAGCAATTACAGTAAATATTCAATCAGATTTCATGCACTATATGAGACGTATCTTAATCATTGGGAGACAAATAATTATTTTTGTATTTTTTGTTATGCAGCCGGGTCCATAGAGGCATGGACCCAAATCAGACAAATAAATAATTATATTGAAACAAAGATCGAGAAAACAAGGGAAAAGAAATATGCAATAACAAATGATTAGGATAAAATCACCAATCCTTGTAGGGGAAATCACTGGAAGTCATAATGCTGTCTTTTTTAAGAATGATCAGATTCATGAATAATGCAAATATATCGGCCCCCATTACGTGATGTACAAATGATGCAACCAAACAATAAATGTGACGCTTAGATTAAACATTATCACACCATAATTCCTACCTAAAAATTATTAAAAAAAATTAATCATATCAAAGACATCAAACCCAAAGTCCTAATCTCACAAGTACTGTTTACATGACCAACCTAGCTATGAAAATTGCCCTGAGCCTCACATGCACCTAATGGACCTCCAGTTCACCTAATTTCAACTATTGATTCACCCCATAAACCCAAACCCCAAAAGTTAACTTACATGCAAAGAAATTGATGAAGCAGGAAATTGCCAGAAACATCAAGGAAAACGATTGGGGAAAAAAATTATTGAGGAAAACTATTGTACTAACCTTGTCTTCTCCGCAAGCAGAGCAACAATACTGAAGATAAAAAACATAAGAAGCATTCCTGAGTGTTCAAAATTGTTCATATGAGATGGATTCAAGACCCCATTTACAGTAAACTTGAGATGGGTTGCATACAAGAACTCGATGCACAGGTCAATGAAAGCACCAATTAATATGACATAGAGCTCCAAATGCTTGAACCTCCCATCAAATCCATTCACGGGATTCCAGACCCGGACCCGGAAAGTTTTTGGGTTAGATACAAATCTCACCATAGCACCCCATATATGCCAAACCCCTACTAGAAGAAAGAGTGTCCCTGGCAATGCATGACCTTTGAAAGATCCCATTTTTCTGATATGTTTTTACAAATCTCTGGATTTGCTTTTCCAATGCTAGCTAATAGATAGATGATCACCTGTTTTGAATGAAATCAGACGTCAGCTTTGAAACTTCGACAAGCAGCCATGATAGACAAAAAGCATGCTTTACAGCTTTTGTATCGAATAATTAGTATTTACAAGTGTTTCTTTAATTCTTTGGTGTAATTTCTAACAGGGTGCGGGGTGCCAGAAAAAGTAGATCCTTTTTCTTTTCGTACTTTTTCTAACAGTTCAAGAGGGAAATAGATTGGGAAGTTTCCTATCTGCTTTTAGCAATCGATGCCAATTAGCAACACCGACCAAACACGTCCTCCATGGCCCTCAGTTTTCCCGGTAAAGAAGGAAAGGAAAAGTCTGCTAATTAGACGAACTTGAAACAGTTCATCTTCTTGAGATTCCCTTAACAGCAAGTCAACGTGAAATGATCACTTTGAAGGGAGAAAAGGGGAAAAAATAATCCGGGGTGTATATTAACAAAGGAAACCAGTAACAAAAATTTATATCAAAATCGAAAATAGCAAACAGAAAAGTCCCACCGGGGCAACGCTAAAGTCAAGAGCAAGAAACTCGAAACCCAGTCAGCAAGGGGATGTTAGTGGAAAAGAAGACAAACGGATACATCTATAAACTGGGGAAATTTATCATGCCATCAAGCAACCCAACAATTTCTAAACCATCTCGTTCTTCTAGACATTACTAGAGCTGAAGTACCATTTTCTTTCTTTTTCTTTGGGGAGAGACTGATTGAGCATGAGGCCAAGGAAAAAAGTTGAGATTTAGCCACTGATATCAGATGAATAATTAGGTACTTTACAGTTAACACCAAATGATGGGGTTATAAAAAAAAAGGTCGAAAAGGCAAAGAAAGAAATAGTAAAACAATCATGAGATTAAGAGGGGTTTAGAGCTTACGGTAAATAATTTACGATATCAATAAAGGATGATTGGTTTGGCTGCAGAAAGCAGAACAGCGTCCGCTATCTCTCTCCCTCCCTCCCCACTCTTGTAATCGCAATGATTTCATGAATCAAGAAGAGTTTCTTCTGCGAATCACAGATCACAATACAGTAACGGAATTTTATAATCGGACAGAAAAGTCTTCGGTGTCTGTGTGTTAGAGACCAAAGACTGAAACAATGTTGGTGGTGGTGATGGGATCCAAGCACCAAGACCCATTTCCACGTGGGTTCTGGTCCGAAGGGTCCAAATAGAGTTGGCCCAACACTAGCAACCCTTATTTTATTTTATTTTTAAAAAGATTCAATATTAACACAATCAAGTATAGTACAAGGGGCTAATTTCTCCCTCACAACGTGCTTTGAATCCTTGTTAAAAAAGATATTTTTATGTAGTGCTAAAAGGTATCTTAAATATGATTGTCTCCACACAAAAAAAAAATACATATAGGTAACCAAAAAAATGTATTGTTTGCATGAAGCCATTATTTTTTTTTCAAAAAAAAATACAATTTAGCGTATTAGTCATACAAACATTACACATAAAATATATTATTTTATTGCTTATTTTATGCCCACGTTCCATACCAATTAGAGCTATATAAATATATATTATTTTTTATAGTTTGAATGTTTGATAGAAATTTATTTTTTTGTAGCTTGAATTTGAATGTTTGATTGAAATTGTGAGATTGTGTTCATGAGGAAATATGATCACGAAGGCAATAAAAGTGGATCCGGCTAGGAAACCAAACAAATAGAAAGCATGCCTTTTTTGTAGCTCTAAAAGTCATTTTGCAATAAGGTCCCACTTTTGTGGGGCCCGGCCAGTCGAGAGAGAGAGAGAGAGAGAGAGATATTAAAAAGTTCACGACAAGAAAAATACAAGGGCAAAAACTAAACATTAACAAAACAGCTAAGAAATAAAGAAAGAAGCAGCACTAGATCTCAGCATCAGATGATTGTACCCAAAATGGCCTAGTTTCAACTCCCTCAAAGCCAAATCTGCTAGACAATTAGCAGCTAGATTCCCACCATGGCGGATGAGAGAAAACGAGATAGCACTCGAAGACTCTAATATGTCCCAAATATCTGAGAGCAATGATTGGTATTTCCATCCACACATTATAAGGTTTTCGTTCGGTGCAGAGATTGTGAACAAGAAGTGCGAAGTTAACTTGTTGAGAATAAAATGTTTGTATATTTTATCATCAAGGGTACTGTGTAAAAGAGTGTTTATTTATTTGCCAATAATCTTGTTGCTTAATGTTTTGTCATAAAAAAATAAATCGCATTGCTTGATGACAATAAGCACCCCTTTGAATGCGTCTTAAATGTAAAAGGTTTAAGAGTTTGACACTTTTTGAATGCGATGTATGTTCGTGAATTTTTTTTCTATCAGTGGATGAATGATAGTTAAGAACATTATACATGTTGTTAAAAAAAGCGTTTCTGTTCTTAGTTACTCGTCACAGCAATTTGTCTTTTTCCTTTTCACACTAAGGAATTTTGTTAAGGTTTTTCTCAATTTAGAGGTTGCTCAGTCCAGAAATGACACTGTTGAATCAATGGACGTTTGGTTTGAGAGTTGGGAGAACGTAAATGCGTAACCATGCATGGAAGATTATGGCGGTCAAACCTCGTTCATTGTAATTGTGCTTTTTGGCCTTTTTACCTTCGCTTCGGTTCAACAACATCAAATTAATGTCATTGATGTGCATGAACTTATAGGTGCTGGTCATAATAAAAAAAAAATTATCATCATTAACCTCGAGGTTTTGAGTTCAAGTCAATTGAATTCAAAAAATAGAATTTGTAACAGTAACTTCCAATGAGATAAGATAATATTTAAATTTGACTGAGTCAAATAATTACACAAAAAAATTGATGGAAATGTACGTCACAATATGAAGGCAGTTTTCGGTTTTGGGATTTGTTAAATGCTATAATACCCTATATAAAGTGTTTTGTTCAGTTTTGTTGATGCTTATTGGACTTGAATGCGTTTATTTTACTGTCCAAAATTAAGTTATAGAACCATGACAAGTTATTCCTACCCTGCTTAAGAATACTAAGGTTTTAAAATTTGAAATGATTATTGAATTGAACTAAATATTGATTCATGGTTTATTAGTTGAATTGTGGTTAAATCAGGTAATATTAAATTAATGTATTTTCAATTTATGTATCATGGCTAAATAATAATTAAATACATGTAAATATTTATATTTTTAAAAAAATGTTTATAAATGCTTAGTAAAATGATTTATTATTGTTGAATACATGATTTATATTAATTATGAATGAAGTCTCTCATTTAAAAATTCAGGAAAAAATTAATTCATATTTAAGCTAAAGTTCAAAGATCAAGTTTAAATGAAAATATAAATAAATATTAGAAAGCATAAGTACTAAAAAGATGTGTTTACATTAAAAAAGCTTCAAGATACAACCAAAAAAAAAAAAAATCAACCAACATCATAGAGAGAGAAAAAGAGAGAGAGAGAGAGAGTGCATTGAATTATATAATGTCTGTACGCAAAACATTTAGTAGGAAGTCCCACATCGCTCATATTAAAAAGAAAGGGTTGCTCGCGGAGGATTAGAGCCTGACTGTGACTGAAATGTTATGGGTCAGAGCTTCAAATTTGTAAAATTCGCAACTCACGGCCCATAGTTCTCAATGTGTTTCTGGCTGTTCTTTATAATTTCATTTTTTTTAATTTAACTTTAATTTTAATCTTTTAATTCTTAATTCAGTCTGTTTTTTAAAAAACATGTATGGTATTGGTCTTCAACCAGTTTTCTCAATTGTTAACTGGTTATATCGGTTGTTGAGCAGCTTCCATATAATTAGTTTTGGAATATTAATTGAACTAGATTAAGAGTTAGTTTTGGTTCAACAGTTGAATTTGTAAATCTAGTTTGATTTTTAAAGTTAAAAAAAAATTATTGTCATAAGCTATAATTGGCCAATAGGTGGGGAAAAAAACTGGGCAATAAAAAAAAGACAAATTTTTACTTTTCATATAATTTTAACCAACTACAGCTATTTATTCCTGCGCATCACTGATTGTGCGAATCCCACGTTTTAAAGTATGGGATATGCAAATCGCCAAATCGGTAAAACTAGACATAAATAAAAAAAACTACTAATATTACATGTATCAATTTTAAAATTAATATTAGGTGGCCAAAAATACTACTTCTTTCATTTCAAATTATATAATATTTTTTAAAAAAATTATTATCTTAAAATATAAAATATTTAAAAAAATTAAAATTTTATTAAATAAATTTATTTTAATATTATCCTTTCTCTCACTGTTTAATACTAATTAACTGTGAACTTAAGGTTATTAAATAAGGAATATTTTTTAAAATTTATATTTATATTTTAAAAAATAAAATTATTAAATGAATTTAATGATATATAAAATTTTATTTAAAATATTTTATAACTTATGACGGGTGGAATATTTGAGTATTAGTATACTAATATTAATTAGCTTAAATATTAATTTAACCCAATAGCAATAGTTTGCATTCAATTATGCCAACCAAGTTTGAACTTTGAAGTCTGCAAGAAGAGCTTAGCTGTCCACAGCGGCGCCCATAAAGGCGTGAGCATTCCTTCAATTCCCACAGCATCATGTAACCGAGTATGCAAGTGGAGAAATTCGCTGCCACAATTACCAAATGCCCCGTTCCTTAGCAAATGGTGTGTGTAAACCAATGGTTTTAAATTCGAACTGAATTTTGAACTAAAAATATCAACAATTCATAGTTTATATAGTCTAATTAAATTAGATTAATGATCAAACTGGTAATGTAATTATTAAATTTAAAAATTATATATGTATATAATAATATAAATATAAAATAAATATGAAATTGTCACTTAAAAATAAAATCAAATATTTTAAATTCATCATGACTTAATAAGTTACATAATTTAAATAATTAAAAAAATTTATTATTTTTTTAAAAAATAAAAAAAGAGACATTTTAGCTATTAGCTTGATTGGTGAATTATTCAACCATTCAATTTGATTCAATTTTTAAATTATTGGTATAAACCACAAAAATAGCAAGGTCATACGTGTCATCCCAAATGTGTGGTTTGATGGGGGCTCATGCAATCGAAATCACATGGGGCCCTTTCCCTTGCTATTTCCACATTTGGAATTCTAATTCAAACTTCTTTCCTTTTTAGCCTCATTTCATAAATAGAAGTCAACAAAACATATACTCCTTTTCAACCAAAATATAAAATATTAATAATTAATTCATGTTTTTTAAAAATATTATTTATTAATTTCTTTAAAAATGTACATATTTTTAATTTTATCCTCATTAAATGCTTTATATAAATATTTCAATAATAATAATTAAAATTTTAATGCATTATTTTTTTAAATGAAGTAGGGTTATAGTTATAAAAGTTACCCAATATTTTATATTTTGAATTAAGCATAAAAGTTATCCAATACCTTATGTTTTAAATTAATCAAGATATCTAAAAGATGCCTTATATTATGATTCGAATGGAGTAGGATTTGATCTAGCAAAAGAGATTACTTTTGCTTAAATCCAATGACTTTAGCTACACAAAAGGCATGTATAAAATGTATAGCATTAAAAACTAGATTTATGTGATCAGTTGAATCAATAAGCTATTAATTCAATGCCTTGATTGATTACATCAACAAAATTTGTTTATGACTTGTTAGCTAAGATTTAACCATCACGATGACCATTATCTTTAACCTATTACTTTGACCATTTCAATAATTAATTCAATTTTCAACATTCCAAAATATCTATCTTTGTATATTGTGTTTACAGCATTGTACTGTTGATTAAAAAATGTAGGTTTAGTGGAAGAAAATAATTCCTTATAATGTGACGAACCAATGTTCAAATCTTTATTGAGAGAGGTGCTTTCATTTAACACTTGACCATATTTCGAATATAATTATCTCTAATAGCTACTTATGAGCAATTAAAAAAAATATCTCAAGATATAAGCTATAGCCCTAATTGCCAATTCCATTAGGTTGATTTAACCTCATTTTCTAATAAAAAAGTCTCCTATGCACTTGAAAAAAAATTAAATTTAGGCTAATTCATATTGTAAAGTCCTTTTTTTACCTCGAACTTTACTTACAC